TTTGAATAAAATTTAGTACATAAATGCTCTAGGACAATAGACAGGCCTGATTAATTTTGGGTTAAAATTTGTTCATATTAATTCTCTAATTAGCATAATAATTCATAATTTTTTTTGTTCTGTTCTGTTCATATTAGTTACCTGATGTACATAATTAGTTTTCAGCTTTTCTATCAATATCTCATGTACAAGTAATTTTGAATTAATTTTTAATGTGTCTTCAATACTCTCAACACACGGGGGTTCTTTCTAAGCTTTCTTTGATTTATCTTATCTCACATCATATTTCTGGTCATTATGCATTGTCACAGCTTTTTTTTTTTTTACAATTTATCAGAATTTTTTATCAAACTGAAGAATAATTTTCATTACAGCACAATGTGTGCCTGCATCAGTTTTTGGGGAAACAGAAACTTTTTTGTTTTTTTTCTGGGTTTGAAAAAATTATTACCAATATTGCTTCTGTTTTTCGTTTTGAATGAAAAAAACTGTTGTATAGTACCATACTCATCCGACTCAGTGCCCAGGGTACTCAGCTCTGAAAATCATGTGTTTTAAGGGGTTTGCGCTTACACAATCTCCCCCTTGAAAATATGAGTGCAGTTCACCATGTGACAGATTGAAGGAAAGATTACATTTTTTGGGGAAAATAAAATTGTGAAATAAGTTGTGCCATCATTGATTTAAACAACACTTTTACAATGAAGAAACAGAAATGGTCAAAAAAAATACATACTTTGAAAACTGTAACTGAAATTTAATTTTATGAAGGCATAAATATTTTTTATGGAAATTCGTAAAATGTTTATAAAACATTTACACTTGTGTTTCATTCGAATCCAGAGACGAAGCTTTCATTAGCTATAGAAGCCATTTTGGGAAACCCTATACCCATAATTCTTTGCAGGTTTCCTCCAATCATTGGCCATACACATGAAAGATATTGTATACCCACTAAAGGCATTGTGATTGGTCAAGTTGTTTTCAACTGTCATTTAAAATTTATGAAAATGTTTATAAATATATTTTATAAATACATTGATGCTTTCATGAAAATAACTGTATGTTCCTCAGGTTACATTTTAAAAATAAATTTAAGAAATTAATATTTTTGTTAATGAATATCAAACTTGACTGAACAGAACAAAGATGGCAAGGCAGCACAAGCTGTGTTCCACCCAAGACTGAGGAAGAAGAGATTGAAGATGTAGATACTGACTCTGAGGAGGAGAATACAACAACCACTCATTTTATGAGTGCTAAATTTCATTTTGTTGATCTTGCTGGATCTGAACGAGCGCATCGAACTGGAAATATTGGTGAGCGATTCAAAGGCAAGTATTATTTAGTCAATATGTAGCATGTACAATGACAGAAGGGGTCAAATGCAGCATTTAGAGGTCATGGTCATGGTTTTGCCATAATCACTTTTGGATCCTATATGCCACACATTCTGGTATTATAGAAGTATTATACAGCAGTTTGTACCAAGTTTAACTATATTTTAACATTGGTGACATCTTCTTGCATTTTTTGAAGGTGGGGGATTGATTAATTATCACTGATAGAGAATTGGTACCTCCAGAAAGTACCAGGATGCATGACCTGAACATCTTTTATTTTTAATTTTATCTTATAGTCTAGCTACTGTATTTTTTCTTATGTTTTGTATTTTATTTACCATACTGCGCCCTCTGATGGCATAGTAGTGTAATAAATTTATTATTATTATTGTTGTTACACAGGTTTCTTATTGCATTTCATTTGGCTGACATTTTATGTTACTTGTGTAAAAAGATGAGAAACTGTAATATGACCAGACTGACATTATCGGAATCCTTTCGCAGAGCATACTATTGTGGCTTTTTGTTTTGCCCTGTTTCTTTTTTTTCTGGTTTGGTCTTAGAGTTTTCAATAGATTTTCAATTATTAAAATTAATATTCTCAATTCTTTCTTCAGAGTCCATCCATATCAATTCAGGACTGCTTGCCTTGGGAAATGTCATCAGTGCTTTGGGAGATACTAAAAAAAAGGTTAGTCATGATCTTGGCTGAATTTGTAGAAAGACAGATGTCTTTGACATTTCACTGCTTCTGATCATGTGGTAATTAGACACAGCGCATGTATTACCAGTAATACACCTATATGTTGATGCTCTGGATCGAGATAATGGGATTAAAATGATTGATATCATATTTGCTCTATTAGTAGCTCATGTCTTCACATAAATGACATGATGGATGCGAGAAACATTGTGTGTGATTATTCACTCGCTGTTTCAATGTAGCAATTATGTATATTAAATTGACTTGAAACTTGGAGTGTCTTAGGGATGACGTCAAAAGATCAATGTCGGATAAAAAACTTAATTCCTTTAGTTTTTTTCCAAATCCCCCTACTCCCCACTGAAACTTAAATGATAAATATTGGTCATGGCGTCAGACTACATTCACTATTAAATACAAATTGATAATCGGACAGTAGTATTGCGTACAGTTGGTTGTTGGGTGGGTGTAAACAGATTTTACAAATGCACCTCATTTGACGCACAGATTTACACTCGAACAAAACCATTTTCTCGTCTTAAGATGTGTTTTTTTCCTTTTAGGTTATTTCTGTCCATGATTGGATGGAAAAAAAAACGAACTTACAAATACTCCAAGATTTTTTTGACTTCATTAAAAAATAAAATCGTTTTTGTAGGATGGAAACTTTTTGAGGTCAAAACCCCCCACCCCCCAAACTAAAGGAAATAAGTTTTTTATCCGACATTGATCTTTTGACGTCATCCCTTAGTTCCAACTGGTAAAGGACGGCTATCTATGGTCAAAATAAGTCAGGTTTCAATGAATGCAATTTTTAGTTGATGTGTGCTTTTTATTAATAGAGATGCATTTGTAATAGAGCAAATATAGTATTAAGTTTATTATTATGTTAAATCAAACGTAGGTCCTAACACAAATATTTTTCATTTTTATTAGATATCGCATATTCCATATAGAGACTCAAAGATTACCAGAATACTTAAAGATTCCCTTGGTGGTAATGCCAATACTGTTATGATTGCTTGTATTAGTCCATCCACAGTGAGTTTTGATGAAACACTTAATGCGCTTAAGTATGCTAATCGGGTAGGTGCATTTCTTATCATCTTCTTATAGACAGGTTTTGGGTGCTCTGTGTGATACCAGTGTTGGATTGAAACATGTTGATCTGTTATTATAGTTGCCCATGTTGGAAAATGTTTGTAAAATATGATAGCATCTCACTAAGGCAACTAAGGTTAAGTTTTTTGAGATGAATACAGTTATGGGAACCCATTAACTTGTGGAATACTGACGCAACTGAATGACCAATATTAAAATAACCTTGCTTTTCTATCATGGAATTCATGGTAGCCACTCTAATAAAAAATCTTCTAACTTGTGACTTTTATGTATCCACTGAACCAGCACCAAATAACAGTAATTACCCAAATGAACAGCATTTATTGAGAAACTCTTTTTTCTTTCCCCATGCCTGATTAATTAAACATTTGTTGTTCTTTGCCAGAAATGTTCATAAACATGCAGTCACCTCTTGCCAATCCGTCAATTGCTTACTTTTTCTTATTCACAGGCTCGTAACATCAAAAACATGCCTATTGTGAATCGTGACAAACAATCCATCAAGTTTGAAGCAATGCAAAGTGAAATACAAGCTTTACGAGAACAGTTACAACGACAGAAAAGTGCTGGTTACTCAGAATGGCAATCCGAACATGTAAGTGAGCTTCAAATAATTGTCACATGTGTATGTAATATAAACTACATTACAGAGTAACTAATATTAACAATGATTAAAATGTCCATCTTCATTGTCATCTGCTTATTCATTTAGCTACATATGTTGATATCAATTCGTGTTCATGATACTTTGAATTTTTTACCTTATTTGTGTGAAATACTGCCATGACACCAGCTTTACTATATTTTAGGACACTCAGCATCATATCTAATTCATGTGTTTCTAAAATGTAAATAAATAAATTTCTATTTAATGCGATTTATTTCATCCACTCTAGCCACAACTGTTGACTTTAATACTACATTAAGTCCTGTTCAGCATCTACGCCTATGTTCAAATATTAGATTATTTTATACTGTATCATGAGAATCCTGCAGACTCCTTACACTTATAGGACAAATATTTCCTGGAGTGTGACCTCGTAGTGTTTGGCTTTAACTTCAATACATACAGTGGAACAGTCATTTGTATTTGTGACAAATATTAATATTGTGGAATTTAACAGCATTAGTTTATAACCAGCTTTTCGATAACTGAGGATTTTCAATCCTTGCAGGCCAATTAAGCATTATCTAATTTCAAACATCAAAAACTTTTCTATTTCATAGTCATTTGTCAAAGACAGACAACAAATTTAATGAACCCAAATTTCAACGTTTCTAAAATGTCCTGACTGTTACGTGAAGTCTCTCATTATGTTTTTACAATGACAGGGTGGAGAGGATGTAGCCCTGCAGATACAGTCATTAGAAGAACAGATTATTAAGTAAGTCAGTTCACAGCTGTGTTCAGAATCCTATTGAAATGTCTATTCTAAACTATGAATCTGATATTAGCATTATGATGTGATGTACTGTGGTAATGAAATGTGCTGTGATGAAATGTGGTTGGTGTAATGTAATGTACTGTACTGTGAGATAATACACGTATATATAATGATGAAATGTAATTTAGTTATTAATGTACTTTGGTGTAATATAATGTATCGTGGTGATGTAATGTACTATAGTGTATTGTAATATAATATATTGTGACGATGTAAATGTAATGTACTATGGTGTACAGTAATATAATGTATCATGGTGATGTGATGTAATGTACTATGGTGTATTGTAATATAATGTATCATGGTGATGTGATGTAATGTACTATGGTGTTTAGTAATATAATGTATCATGGTGATGTGATGTAATGTACTATGGTGTATTGTAATATAATATATCGTGACGATGTAAATGTAATGTACTATGGTGTACAGTAATATACATGTAATGTATCATGGTGATGTAATGTACTATGGTGTATTGTAATATAATATATCGTGTCGATGTAAATGTAATGTACTATGGTGTACAGTAATATAATGTATCATGGTGATGTGTTGTAATGTACTATGGTGTACTAGTATTGTAATATAATATATCGTGACGATGTAAATGTGATCATTACTATAATGCCAGAAATTCAGACGAAATTAACACACATCCATTTCATGCTTCTGTTCCACACACTAAAGTGAATATACCCATTTTTCTCAATGAAATTATGTTCTGCATTTAACACAGCATGAAATACATGTAGCTGCTTATTACTAAATATAACTCTCATTCCAGTACTAGTACTGGTAATCGTTTGACTTCCAATTCGAATGTGTTTTTGATATGGTGCTATTAGATTTTCTCTTCCATTGTGTTTTTTTTCAAGTATACTGAAGCAGGGAAACTAATTTAAACACAAAAACAAATAGGGAGCTAAACAAATGCTAATATTTCGATATGACAACAGTTATGAAAACTATAGACCTTATAGATGTTTCATGTTGAAACTTTATAATACAGGACACTTTCCCACAATTTGGGGTACTCGTAGCATCAAATACATTGTATGACGAGTAAGAAAATATTGTATATATCTTATTGTAAAATCGCATTTTTTTGTACTGTAGATTGAAGACTGAGAATGCACATTACAAAATGTGTACAGAGGAAGCTTTCAAGTTACTTCTCAAATTACAAGACACTGATTCACTGACCAAGACCTTGTCAGTCGGTATTCAGCAGTGGTTGGATCTAGCAGAGGAAACAAAAAGTGACATCTTATCACCGAGGAAAAAAGATAATGGTGATGAAAACCTGGTACACAGACTGGAAAATGAACTGAAAAAGGTATGTATGCACATTGTGTATGTGGTTGAACTAGTGAAGATGTAAGCAAGTCAGTGGTTCAAACATCAATTTTGGCTTCCAGCTTGCGAACTTAACAGCTGTTTATGTTCTGTTTGATACATACATCTAATATCTTCTGGTGGTGGTCGTCTTAGTGTGTCATGTGGGTCCCATGTGATTTATTCAACACATGAAATTCGAACACAAACTGCACAATGACCATCATTATTTAACTTACCATTTAAACTTGCTCTAGATATCTGAATATAACTTACATATTAATTGTATACAATCAAACCTGTGTATAGCCCTATACACTAGTAGTCTTTATATGCAAGTTGATTAAATAACTCAACAATAAAAGTCTGGCTGTAAAAAAAAATTTAATATATAATTCGTGGCATAATATAACGATTGGACATAAAGCTGCTAGCCCTGCTAGCACAGTTTATAGAAGCTGATTACTGCTGATTATTTTATTTATATAGTATATGTGTTAACCTAGTATTTAATCCACCTGCTTTGCGATAAGCCCTTGAGGGAAAGCTTGTAGTAGTTTTTGACCAAAGTATTATTTCTTCATAGGCCATGGATGATCTTGCAAGTGATGAGGAAATATTTGCTGAGAAGACAAGAGAGAACAATGAAATGCAGGAAAAGATAGTAGAACTGGTAAGGGTACCGTAATTATATTTTAACTGACAGTTAAAGATCGATTACGAGGACGCTTAAAAAAATTAAAGCAATCTTGTTATGGAAACATCAAAAGAGGATATGAAGCTTGAGGTAATGTCCAGAAAACCAGTGGAGAACCCAAATAACATGATATACATTTGTAGGCCCTGTTAACGTTTTACCATGCTTTGCCAGTGATATATTGTAATTGAACTTCGTAGTAACATTGGAGGTTATTGATATGGTAATTATTTCTGTTGTAGTAATATACATATGCAAATTAAATAGTAGTAATATGCAAATTATCTATTTACTTGAACTTATGTTGGAATACTGGAAATACTTGTGTGGCGGACCGTACGGCACTCTCACTGCAACACAGCCCTCGCACTGCAACACAGCCCGCACTATCCCGTAAAGTATGGCGGATGGCGTGTGGAAATAAAAATTATACAAATGGTTAGGGTTAGGTAAAGGATATCTTATGAGTGACTTGTATATGTTTATACTTGTAGTTATTGACTTAAAGTTACGATGTCTTCTGCCTTTTTACAGCTTGTGCAATTTAAGATCATAAGCTTTGAAAACATTATTCTCTAAAACATGCTTGAATGCATTGATACCTTAATCGCTACTACAGAGGGCAAGGTCACAATAATTTCACTATGTTTATAATCGTTGTGCAAGGTTATAATAATTTCACTATGTTTATAATCTTTGCCATGCAGGAAGCAACGAGTAGCGAGCATGTACAAATGCTGGAAGAGGCCCTGGAAAGACAAAAACAACAAGAACAACAAATGATTGAACAACAGCTAAAAATTGCTGAACTTCAGAAATATATTGATGACTTAGAAAACAAGAATAAGGTAATTACCGGTAGTTCATTCTCAGATTACGTTACTGAAAACGCAAGGATGATATGCTACCATAATACAATATGTCTTGTTTGACATTCTGTGTATTGTGTTTTAGTCAATGGAATACAAAACAGTATGGCATAAATGACATTTTCAAAGTGTTTGATGTGATGTATTCACTGTTATTGCCTGAGTGAAATTGTTTCAAAGTCATAACATTTGTTGGTGATTGTAATGATTTGATGCTATGACGTTTAGTTTAGTTATTTGCATAATGATATTGATACATTGTCATGGAACATCTCATGAGTATTTAGACTCCAGGCCTAGCAGTTGAGCAATAAACACCTTGGCTACAAGTGCTCCTCTCCAGTGCATTATTCTCCTCCTAGATTTGGTGAGCAATACTCACTTGGTTCACTCTACCTTGAGAAGTCTGTTCTCAGTTTACAGTGATATACTGTATCTGAATGTTTATTATCAGAATAAAGATATCAGTGGTGATAATGTTGAAACTGTGGAGGCCCCGGGAACTGGCGGTAGACGAGCCATGTCAGTGCCAGCTGTAATAGCAAGAAAAAGATACAAGTCAGCTGGATCTGAAGTCAGTCATGTTAGACCGCAATCAAGAAAGGTGCATACCAGTCCTGCCATGGTGAGTGGTTTGTTCCTCCTTTAACTACCATAACACTTTTAGTTTTTATGTCTTTAGGGTTTGATCATTAGAAATGGGAGGGGGGTAGTAGAATTTTCCAATTTTTGTTTCTTTTATTAGTCCCTGTTTCTTATTTGAATTTTCCGTCTGTGACGTCTCTAACGTTATTTCAGAAATTCTGCAGCAGATATTGATTAAACTTGGCAGGGTGATGAACAAGTCTCTGCCGATTATGCACGTAATTTTTTTTTCCAGATCTGAAAATCCTAAGTGGGTCTTTTTCATGATTTTCATCCAAGACAACCTCTCCCAACACCACTGAGAGAACAACTGAGCATTCTCAGAATAAATAATTAGCTTAAATGGTAATGCTAGGGTTTTTAGTGATGTCATGACCTGGTCATGACCTTGATCTGAATCAGTGACAGATGGGTCATACCATTACCAATCTCAGTAGAAAATGTAGAGGGGTGTCATGGCTACATTTTGATGGGAATTATAGTGGTGATACTGAAATAAACCCAGGTCCTGGTAATATACAAAGACCTAAATTAACAAAGAAGTCAAGTTGTTATTAAAGGTACATCAAGGTTAACTCAGATTCATGAATGCAGTTTCTTGAGCATGTATGAGACATACATGTAGTTTGGTTGCACTTGTGAACTCTGAGATTTTGGACCCGGGTCAATGAAAGTTTTCAGTTATCAGATTAAGGGAAATCACTTTATGATGAGTTGTACCCACATAGAGTACATATTAATTCAATTGTTTGCAGATGTTCCATGTATTATTTTAACATGAGTATTTTATAATTAAATAACAGGGACTGTAAAATTCATGTCTTGTTTAGTTTGAGCCAGAAATATTTTAAGGATGTTTTTTTCTTCTTCTTCTATTATCAAATTTGTGTGAGTTTTTGTAGATAAATATTATAGTTTTTCTTCTGTAATTTTTCCTGTAGACATGCCACTTTGATGATCAACCTTTAAAATCATACTTCTTTGCTATGCTTTCCGTAACCCAATATTACTGGTACTTACTGCTCAGCTCAGCTGTCCAAGTTAGCCTTTGAACTAAATCCTCTTTTGCCCATACTCAGCATGCTAAAAACCCCACAGTACTCGCAGCTCATCTCAGCTGTCCTAGCTAATCTTCAGATTAGATTATGCCAGAAACCCTGTTTAATCCCAAGTAAATAATAATAAAAACATAAATCACATATTTCTTTAATACACAGCTCACCTTATATCTTTGGTTTATCTAATAAATGAAGTAAAATTAAAAACACTCTTCTCATGGATTTCTCTGTTGTTACTATTTGCATCCATGGGGGTTGTCACATTGTGGATGCACTATCCTTTACAATGCCTACACGTACCACGCATTGTTATAGAGTTTACTCTATGATCTCTTCATTTCAGGAGAGTTTTACATCTATTTCCTGAATGAAGATGACATTTCTCAGTAGAGTTCCTGAAACTAACAGGAACACATACTACAGGGGTATCACTGTATGCGTTATACTGTGCTGATGTCATGTATATGATGTACAGTACAATTGTACATCCTGCTCACAAACAGGGTTAATTTGTATTTGCTCTATTAGTAGTGCATGCATGCACTTGTGTAAATTCCAGGGAAATGTGATTTTTCTATCAGAGATGCACTTCTAATAGAACAAATACAGTATTTGAGAGTAACTCCTTGTTTCTATTTTCTGTAGACTTTCTTGACCACTTATGTTTTTCATAAGGAATTTATGTATTTAATATCTCCCCAACCACACAGCCTGCTGTAGCTACAACCTGTGGCCAGTATGTTCTTAATCAAGACTATCTCAATAGACATTCTGCTGTCCAATGTCTCCAGTCTGGTTCTCGGTCCCACGTCAGTATTTAATACAAACTTTTTCTATTACAGTGTGCCATTCCATTCATTCTGTAAATTGAACATTTCACAACATGATGGGTGACCTATTATACAAATACACTGGTTTCTGGTTTGGCTATCCATATCACAAATTAGATTCAGGGTTCCAGGGTCTCTTTGAAGTGCAAATTTTGTATCTGATTTTTATTTTTTATTTGTCAGACCTCGTGTTATGGGGCAAGCATTTCAAGTTTGCAGTTATGAATTTTTTTAGTTTGAGGAAATTTAGCAAAAGTTGCTGTGACTCAATGTTTCAAGATCCTATTGAAATTTGTAGTTTTTAGTGACTTGATGCAAAATTTTCAGAATCTTTTCTCTCAGTTTATAAAAGTAACTAAGATGTTTAAATTGACCCAGATGTTTAAATTGACCAGTTAGTTGTCATACTTTCATTTACTTTTAAAGCTTCTTTTTTATTTTGTATTTGGCTCAATCGATGTAGTATAAGAATGGGATACTTTGGATGTTAAAGACAGGATTGCCATATAAAGTCTTGATAGCTAAAAGCTGGAGCATATTATGTTTTTCCTTCTTTTTCTTTTTAATGGTTTTCACAAAATGGGTTCTACATTTTTAGGAATCATTAAAAATTGTAAGAATCTTGGGATCATACATTGACTAAATCTTATTCCATGATTATATTACTTTTTAATCATTTCATTTATTTAATTTGATGACAAAAAATTATCAATTTATTATTTCAATCACAGTGTATTTGAGTAATGATGTGTGTACATGTGTGTGTAGAAATTGAAAATATGCACATAAACTGCCTTAATTTACATGTGCCTGTCTTGTTGCTGTTTTTTTTATTTGGTAGTTTTAATTTTGTTATTTTCACCTTAACAATATACTTTTTTTTTGCTGTTTAGTTTATAATTGCTTTGTTACATTTAGGTATTAGAGATTTGAAACAAACATACAATGCTCACGACATCCTTGGGTGACTTCATGGGTGAATCCAGAAAATCACCCAAATACAATATCAGCTGATTTGCTATGCTGCTTACAATAAGATAGAATTACTTGCTTATTTTTTGTTGAAAGCTGGTCACTAACGACTTAATAATTATAAAGTAAAACTTTAAATTAAAAAGCATGTACTAGAAATATTATAATTTAATTGTTGCGAGAGTTGCTGTTTAATAGTTGGATTAAATGGTGAGAATGATGTTTGCGTTTCAGTGGATTAGCTTTTACTTACTTTGTATGTATACATTTATATTTTAGTTTTCTATGGAGCGAATAGTGCAAGGTTTCCGTGCTCGGAGTCAACTTATCGTCAATAGGCTGGAAGACTTGGATGAAGTTTTGCAAGAACAGTTTAGTGATGATGAGCTAGTTGAGGAAAATGGAGAGGAAAGGTAGTTTTTCAATTAATTTAATATCTGTTAAGAGCTGTTGTTATTTTTAAATTTAGTTAAGGAGTAACTACTAGGTCAAGCCTTTGAGTCCCAAAGTCAACTTTTGGTAGAATTCACAAAATTAAACCCATAATTTTTCTTAGATTTGTTTCAAAAATTGGATCAAGAACTGTAGGTAATATAAAATTTGTCCATTTGTGACAAAATTATCCTCAAAATTTTCGAAAATGCATAAAAATAGGCAAAATGTTTCACAATTTTTTTTTCAAGAAAAAAATATGGCGCTCTGAGAGAGTAGTCTGTGAAAAATAGATTTGAGGACTCTCCCTAGTTCTGAATTATTGCTGTTGGAACCATTAGCAAAATGTTGTTGGAGCAACAAATAAAATATTGAGCCAAAGACATTACCAACTTTATGCCGCACTGAAAATTATTGAAATTGAGTTTGGGAAAATTTCTCATAATTCATCCCATAAAATATATCACATTCTACATGAGTACAACTTTCATGTCATCAATTACCAACTGGAAGTTGCAATTACAATGAGAACAATAAATTTATCCTTAAACGCTAATACTTGTATGTATCTCTCCCTGCTTGCAGTAAAACTTTGGGTAAAACTTGGAACAAAGGCAAGCAGCCAATATTATCAGGAACCATTACACTGAAAGGAAAGGCACGTGCAAGCAAAGTACCTCTAAGAAAAAAATGTAAGTTATCATAAAAAATTATGATTTTGTTAATCATGTGATGAGTCTAAATCTGATACCAAGTACATCTCATAAAAATAATAATAATATAATGAGGTTATTACAATGATACTGCAAAGTATGCACAAAGACAGTACAGCAAGAGTATCGACTGACTCGCAGCAGAGTCACCTAATGTAGGATTTGAACCCCTGACCTTCAGTTTGCAGGACAAACTGTGAAAATATTTATTTTTACTATTTTGAGATTTTGAGTTGACAAATTTGCCAGGGAAACAATGAGTTCTATTGTTATTTTACATGTTCACCTGGATTCCATTTTGCGGATTTTACTTAATAGCGAAATTGAAACCCAGTGAATAATTATTGCATTTACAGTACCGTAAAATCTGTATTAGAAGTCGCACCCATTCTTTTTGAATAATTGAGAACAAAAAATCATCATTTCTCATATGTGTAGATGCTCTAATAGAAGCCGCATCCCCTCTGTTGCTTTGTACCATTTTAATAGAAGCCGCAGCTTCTAATACAGATTTTACAGTATGTGCTAAACAACTGTTCCAACGAGTTGACTTCACTGGTAATGGAGTAAATTAAAATACACGTGTGAAGTTTATTTCCTTTAGCAGATGAATTGACAAGTTGGTGCGGTGGTTTGCATATAATAACACTGTATACTGAAGGTCATGATTTCAAATCCTTAACTTAGATGACTGTAAATTTTTTCTGATCAAATTTGTATTAAAGGGTGGTAGTCATCGCATTGCACATGGGCAACACTTGTATTGATAAACATTGATTTTCCCACAATCCAATGTGCTCTTCTAATGGAACTCACAAGTATGAGGTTTCACCTGGGCTTGACTTGCACAAATTGCCACTGGTGACTCCTTCGATACCTTCCAATCACCTAAAAATATCTAATAGGCCATATGCATGACTTTCAAAAAGTCAGTCACTACCAATTCAAATTTAATTATTATTTTCTCACAAAAATGCAAGCAGTCATCTATAAAATTCAAAAACATCGTAAAAATTAATGTATATTATTGGAAATTCTTGCTGTGATGGAACAAAATACCCCCTGAAAGTACCAGGATGTGTGACCTTTAGGGGTCATGCATAAGGCCAATTAAAGCTTGGTAATGTCTCAGTTTGTACTTGTTAACAGTCAAAGTCGCCATCTTTGTTTATATGAGACCCATATATCTCGCGCATGCGTGGTGCGATGACTACTGCTGACAAAAAACTCCATGCTCAGTAATTAATCAAATATGTTTGATTAATTACTGAGCATGGAGTTTTTGTCAATAATAATTGATTTTATGGAAACACTATTTATTTATTGTTTTGTGTCATACATGTATACA